AATGAAAAGCAATGTGTATGTTGTATCTAAGTATACCAAAACATAGTGTATGTCATCTGTATATAAAGAAATAAGGATATTAAAGAAAGCTGGATATAGGAGAATCCCTGAATATATTGATTTCGACATACTATGCATTTAGGTTGAAAAAGCAAGTAGGAGGGATTCGAAAATTGGCCTCACAAAGCACCTAAAGGTTGCCTTGGAGTTGCAATTAGGTTCGTGCAAATAGGTACTCGGCACATCGCCTTGCAACCTTGGCGAATCCTAGCTGATCTTAGTCAGCCATATGAGGAATATCGGCAGAACAGGATACTATGCTTTACGATAATTTGTCAAGCAAGAAGTGGACAAAATTAGGCTATAAGAGGATTCCAGCCGACCATATTTCTTGTCTTCGTGCTTGATGAATTATCGCAAAGCATTGTGCCATTATCTGAAGGCGTCCGTCACATGACGGATGAATGCTCAGCAAGGATTCATCGGGGTCACAAAGAGATAAGCAGAGGATTTATTCGCACAAATCTAGTCATAGTTCCAAGTCAATCCTCTATCGGATTTAGGTGAGACCGAAATGCTAATCATTTCCCTTTGCCTTTTCATACTAAATGAAGGGTATGCAAACGTCGCGGAAAAAGGGATTTCGATTATTCACAGAATAGAGCTACAGAGTTTTAATCTATTTCATTCGGGGCTGAGATGAGATCTCCATCGGAGATTAATGACTGGGTTTTGAACTTATGACCCTAATGCGTATTAATATTCGCTATCTATCATAACGAGAATAATCAAAATAAGTTGCAATTTTCTTAAAATATATATAGTTTACCAACCTGTTCGTAAATTTTCGCATTCGTCCCATTCTAGTAAGTGAGCTAGAGAATCATCTAGATCGGCCTTTAAGCAGATATTCTTAGATAATTTGACTTTGCTTTGAGACCTTGGAGAAGTTGAAACATTTCTATCAGAATCCCCATCTGAGAAGGTCAATGAATGAGACAAATCAGAAAATGTGGTGTTTAAAGATGAAATGGAAGCATCTGGTCCTGAAAGCAGGTCATTGATAGCAGGTGCGGAGGTAATATCGGGTCTAGCGGGCGTAACTTTTGGAGGGAACTTAATTGGAGTGATAGGCATGTGAGGGTCTGGTGAGGAATATCGTCGAGACGCCTTCGTACGTCCCATCCCAGACTGGAAGAAGTGAAGAAATCCAGGTGACTCTGAAGAAGGCAATCGATTTGAGCCTGAACAGCTGTTGACATCAAAGTGCAAAGAGAATTAAGGATTGAAAACACCGGCTAACGAAGCAAAATGACCAAATAATTAATAATATGAGATAAATGTTAAGTGAAAATCAAGAATGTGACTTTAAAGAATAGTTGATTGGTAGAGTTAGAAGCCACTATTCGCGAAGATTATTGCTATGAATCAAGACTACCAATCTGGATATGTATGCAACAGAGTATTTAAACAAAAGTGGAGTGCTAGAATAGAAGTCGCAAGATTCGATACAAATAAACACCAGTCATAGCAAGATTAGTCTGGAAGCATTAGTCCGAAAATGATAAGCGGTAAGGAGCTATTAGTGTGTCTAAATAAACCGCCAATACCTATAAACGAAAGACTGGCCTAATCTTGGAGCGATCTACCAATGGCGTGCGATCGATTGGACAGGTCATTTGACGTATTGCCTTGAAAACATGTATGCTGGCACGCCTAGTTATCCAAGGCAGGAAATAA